TGTATATATATATTATAATATATAATAAAACAACATTACCATGACAATATTTATTTATTTACGGACATGTACGCTTTCGCGTTCGTACGGCCGCCCGTTCGTACGCACCGCCCGTTCGCTTTTTTTTTTCCTCACTACCGTGCGTAAAGAAGTATAACTTCAACATACAAAACGAAAATAAATAGGTAACATATTAATAAAAATAATAAATACTAAATAATAAATATAAAATAAGCAATAAGCAGATAAAAAGGATAAATGGAATTAATATATCATGTAAATTATAGATATATCATAATAATGGTTGTGAGGAAAACGAATAATAATAATATAATTTAAATAAATAAAGATAAATGAAAATAAATATTAAAATAAAACATTACGTCGCCTCAGAATGAAAAGGTTCTAAATCAATTTTTTTGAAAAATGGTTTTTTTTGCATATAATCATTTATAATTTTTTGTTGTATAATTCAATCTTGAAATCGGATCGATCCGTTGGTTATTCAATGAGATACAGAGAATGAAAAGGTTCTAACTCATAAAAACGTGAATGATAAGCGCGAAACCGAGAAATATCAGTTACAACCTTTTCATTCTAAACAATAATTAAGAATGAAATAGTTCTAAACGGTCTTAAATGTAATATCTCAGAATGAAAAGGTACCGTTATAATAAGGTTATACCACTGGTACAATATAAATTATTATTGTGCCATAATAAAATATTATTCCAGCATTCCAGCATAAATTTACCGTCATGTATATAGTACCTACCTTAGTATTATAAGAAATGGTACATTTAAATTTGAATTACGTTTTTGACATTTTTCATTATTGTGAATTATGATTTATGCCGTTTAATTTATATTGTTGCGTTTTCAATATACCCCCCTTCCCTACACTAATTGCGCCAATGGACCATACAATTGTAACTTATTACTTATAGTAGGTATGTCCAGGCACATACACAACAACAAAAATACATATACGGGTATGTTATAATATAATATTACTTAACTTAAAAACTAAAAATATTGCATAATAAAAAAATGTATAATTTATAACATAGCTTACACTAGAAGTTGGTATCACTGCATAGAAAAAATGATTCAAATCAGAATGAAAAAGTTCTAACTAAATAAATAATTTTTATTTTCAGAATGAAAAAGTTCTACACATAAAACCTTTTAATTCTAAAACTAATATTTTGGTTTTTTATGATTAACCCAGTCAATAATTGAAGAAAGACGAATTGCAGATAAAGTTGTGTTCTTTGGAACTTTCTTGATATTGCATACAATTTTCACGATTTAGTAATTATGGTGAAAAAAGTTATTCAATGTCCTACTTAAAAACGTTCCCCTGAACAATTACATAAATTGCGTTAGAACCTTTTCATTCTGAGACGACGATTAGTACGTGCATAACAGAAATAATACGTAAAATAATATTCTATAAATAATCACAAATGTAACAATTATATAACAAATAACTTTTAACTATTTCAGAAATTAAGAAGTAGTTATGACATTTTATCTATACCGACTCAATTCAAAGATATTAAGATAATACCCTGGACTCAATTCAAACACATAAAAGTAGCATGGACTAAATTCAATATCATCGAAATTGTTTATTTTCGAATGTTTTATATGTGTGTGGGTAGGTACTAGGTTACGTATAATTTTCTACCGACAGCATGGATATTATTTTCATTCATTAATTTAATAACAAGTCTCAAAATGTGCTAAAGCCATTAGATTAACAAAATATTCGTCACAGGATGAATATTATTTGAATCGATATATTTTAAGAACTTTTGACGTTGGACATAGTAAATAATTTTTATTAACTATTTAACCAAAACGTTGTACAAAATACTTAATTTAAATAACACTTTAACGTAACTGAAGAACAAGATATATAATATTATCATACAAAATATGATAACTTGCAAATAATAATACATATATTATAAAATGAGATTAAATCAGCTGTAGAAACTTTCATTAAAAGTTTTATATATTTTATATAATAGAAATAGGTATTTTATTGTCTTGAAATTATTCAGTTTATATACATTTGCATAATTATTAATTAGGTATCTATTTCATGTTGTATAAAGATCACTTACTTAATCTCTCACCGGATAATGCTGAATTTAAATAATGTGCCTTTGTATAGGTATAGTTATTATTATATCGGTCTTGGCGGCTCTGGTACATCTAATGTGCATTGGGCCCCTGGCCTCTATATATACGGAGGTGGCGTCCTTTGAATTGAGCGGCGCGTGGCATGCATTCGCCCTTGATATGATATGGACCTCACGAATAAGAGTGGTATTCTAGTCGTAAACACTTTGGGTGTGGTCGCATTCCTGGTTGTTTTTATGAGCAAGTACATGAAATTACGTAATCCCATTACATCTCCCTACCAAAATAAAGATTGTTAACCTTTAAGGGTTAAGAATCTTTAACAACGTTAATTAAATAGTTTACAATGGTTGAATTACATTGTTTACATACATTTACATTGGTATCAATTTTTGTATACAGTTAACAATTTTGATTACAATAATGTGAACATTTTAAAATTTTTAATGTCATCATTATTATTATTATTATTATTTTTATTATTCATATTACAATTTGTATATTGTGGTTAGTAAAATAAAATTAATACATGATTTAATTAAATAACTAGTGTTAATAAGAAGGAGTAATAATCCTTTTAATAAAATAATATATGTACCTGAAATTATAACATTATAAGCATTACGTAAGAGTAGTATATGGGGCACTTGAGCACACTTTTTATACTACAAAAAAAACAACTTAAAAAATCTTTAAAAAATGAATAAAAAACATTAAAAAATGCATAAACAACATAAAAAAACACACAAAAAAGCATAAAAAATATCTAAAATAACATTGAAAAAACATTAAAAAAAAACCGACCTTATATTTTCCTGTTAAAAATTACAAAAAATCTAAACAAATCTGTTAAAATTACAAAAAATTTAAACAAATCTGTTCAAATTCAATATCATTATTTTTTAAAAATTTATGCATTTCATATCTATATTTAACGCGTGTCCAATTCGGACAAGCGTTATTAATATCACAAAATATCATTATTTTTTAAAAATTCTATAAATTTATGCATTTTAACACTTTTACATCCAAATTTCAGTGCTTTTTTTATATACAATTTGTATACAATTACATCGATATTTCACATATTTTGTATAAAATATAACACGGTCGAATAATCCGATCATGTTAGAATTTAACACGTGCCACATTAGGGCACGCGTTATTATTGTCACCAAAACCCATATTAATAAAATCTTGGCTGGAAAAACAGACCATGATTTTTACTATAATATTATAAGTGACTGGTTTCAAACCAGCCACCTCAAATTCATTTACAATAGTACTAATTTTTATATTTATTTTAAATATCTTTAGGGTGTATTTCCATACACCCTGAAATACCATAGTGTATACAATTACATTGATATTAAAATAAATATATAAAAATTTTTTTTTATAAATAAAAATAAAAATAAATATAAGACAATGAATCGTAACAGCAAAATTATTAGTCTTTATGAAAAGATGATATATAATAATAACTCATTATTACAATCTTTAAAATTAGGGGAAGTTTATTTATGTACAAAATGTCAAGATTTTAAGAAAACTGATGAATTTAGTAAAAATCAAAAGTGGTGTAAGACTTGTATGAAAGCCAAAGTTAATAATGATTTTAAAATATGCGAATGTGGAAAAAAAATTTATTTGAGATGTTATATTGTACATTTAACATCAAACTATCATAAAAAAAGAACGGAAAACATGAATAAAGAGAACATTTAATATAAAATTATAAAAATAATTTTGTTATTAAAAAATAAATTCCATAAATAATATAAAATTAAATTAAATTAAATTTTTTCTTTATAAATAAAAATAAATAAAATAAATTGTATACAATAAATTAATAAAAATGCTTCTACAGAATCAAATTATATTAGAAAAAATGAAAGTACCTGAACTTAAGTTCATAGCAAAACAATATGATATAAAAAATGTTTGTAAAATGAAAAAAGATTGTTTAATAGAAAATATAAAAAAGCAAGCTGCATTGAAAATGTTAGATAAAAATCCCTTCTTTAAGTTAGATAAATCATTGTTTACTAAAGAAAATTATTTTAATACTTCATTAGAAAGAAGACCAAAAGTTTATGATTTGATAGACGTAATTCAATTGAATCCACAAGTCCAAAATAAATTTAGGATACTGTTACGTTGAATAGTGGACTGTATTGGAGTTGAACGATGATGGTAGGTACTTCGGAGTAGTATGGTATCAAAAATAATGCGATTGGTTATAATTTCGATGACCGGGTTGCGGCCTACTATTTTAACCAAATTTCAGTACTTAAAAACTAATGGTAAAAGGGCACAATAAGGTGCTGGCCAGTTAATGGGGAAAATACTTAAACTACGACTAACACAAAAAAAATATAGTATAAAATAATACACATATATAATACAAATATAAGAACCGTGACGGCGGCTGCAGTCCCGGTTGAACGGGTGATGGTGGGCAGGTAACGGTAGAAGTGTAAGCCGGTGACAGAAGACGGTAGATGGTGAACAAAATTACAAGTAGATGGTATGCGAATGACAGGTGACGGTGAAACAGGTAACAGGTGACGATGAAAACGGTAACGATTTTACCCCGCTGGTAGGTACTTCTGGAACAACTACGGAGAAAAAATTCACGCACCAAAAAGACGACAGCGTTCTACGTCAGCGGTTCTGTCACTGAAGAAAACAAAAACTGGTCTGTGTGGGTATACGGTATATTATCACCGATAAGGTCCGTCGGGACGGGGGTATCGGTGGACCAATGTAACGGTGGGAAAAATGACGGCAGCTTTTATATAACGATATCTCAAACATACCGCCCACCTGAAGGCACCTGGACTTCACAATACGAGTGGTAAGCGACACAATTTAACCACCGGACGTTTGATCACCGTTCGATTTGCAATTCGAACTGTAGCAACGCGTACAATCTTATCCTCTCCTGGGTGTACTTCCATCACCCGTGCAGTCTTCCAGGTAAGAGGTGGTGTCGGCTCTTTTATAATTACTAGGTCCCCAGGTTCAAGATTGCATTGGTCTTTGCCCCATTTTGAGCGAACTGAAATTGTGTGCAGATATTCTTTTGACCATCGATCCCAGAAATGTTTTTGTATGTGTTGCACAAGTGTCCATCGTTGTTGTAACGTAAGTCTAGGTCCCGGGTGTAGTGGATCTGGGACTGGGACAGTTACAAGGGGTTCCATCGTGAGAAAATGTCCGGCAGTGAGGGTTTGAAGATCGTTTGGATCTGACGACATAGCTCCTAATGGCCGTGAATTGAGAATTGCTTCTATGCGGTGGAAAACGGTGTTCAGTTCTTCATAAGTCAATACCTGTTCCTGAATTGTACAATGTAACAGGGTCTTGGCGGATTTAACGGCCGCTTTCCACAGCCCGCCCATATGCGGAGCAGCTGGGGGATTCAGGTGCCATGGGATGTGCACATTGCTTATACCCGCGGTTATTTCGGAGGAGCTGAGGAGCCGCTTGACGTCTTCCATGTAGTTTTTCGCTCCTACAAAGTTAGTTCCGCAATCACTGTACAGATCGGTGCATCTACCACTTCGACTGACGAAGCGGTTAAGAGCAGCCATGAAGAGTGTTGTAGATAAATCACTTACCAGCTCTAAGTGTACTGCGCGAGTGGTTATGCAAACGAAAATACATAAATAACCCTTGGTTGTCTGTACACGTCGGAGTAAGGCAGCCTTTACCAAAAACGGTCCGGCGAAATCCACTCCTACATGTGTAAAAACCTTAGTTCCGACTAGTCGTGGTCGGGGTAAATCTCCCATGCTCGGTTGCATCGGTTTTGGTCTGGTGCGGAAACAGGGTATGCACTGGCGGAGATGTTTACGAATGGCGCCTCGGGCCGCTATTATCCAAAACTTTTGGTGCAAAATATTTTGGGTGGTTTGCGCCCCAGGATGACAATGCAGGCGGTGGATGTAATCAATGAGTAGGACAGTTAATGGAGATTGTTTTGGTAACAGGATGGGATGCTTTGTCTCATATGGAAGGTCAGAGGACCGGAGGCGACCGCCCACCCTGAGAAGACTCTCTTCCGAATCTAGATAAGTTCCAAGTAATAGCAGTTTATGGGTACAGGGCTCTCCTGACGTGAGACGTTTCAAATCCTCTGCGAAATGTACCTTTTGGACCCATCGGATTAGGGCGTGCAATGCTTCCTCCTTTTCCTTTGCTCCTAGTGGTTTGGAATGATCAAAGGAGATGGGTCGGTGTGACAGATTTCTTCGAAATCGTAACCAATAGGCGGTGAGACGTAGAACTTTCGGAAGTTCTGCTGATGCATACAATAGTTGACATTCCTCTACGGACTTAGTGATTAAAAGAGCAAGTTGTTTCTCCTCGACTTGATGTTCCATCTTATCCAGACACGTGATAGGTGTCACCGGAGGCCAGGTATTTGTTGGTTGGGTGAGAAATACTGAACCGCCCCACCAAATCTGATGGTCCACTAGCTCTTTTGGGGTTACACCTCGGGACGCACAGTCTGCAGGGTTGTGTGCTGTAGGTACGTGTCTCCAAATCTTCGGAGACGTCATGTGCTGAATTTTGGCAACTCGATTTGCCACAGACGTCTTGAGTTTTGCTGTAGGTGTCTGAATCCAAGCCAAGACTACGGTTGAATCGGACCATGCAGTCGTGGCTTCAATTGGAATGGCATTTAGGTTGGTACTGATATGTTCCAGACAGCGAGCAAGTAATACCGCCCCACATAACTCAAGTCGTGGAATTGAAAGTCTTTTTTCCGGAGCCACCTTAGACTTTCCCATTAACAGTTGGCAGTGACTGATGCCATTTGGTTCTCGCGCTAAAAGATATACCGCGGCGGCGTAAGCGTTTTCTGAGCTATCGCAAAATCCGTGGATTTCATACGTAGCTCCAGGTGTAGTTGCTCGACGCCGTATCCGAATATATCCAATTAGTGGCAATTCTTCGTGGTAACGTGTCCAAGCATCGATGGCATCGTCAGGTATTCTCTCATCCCACCCCACCAAAATTGACCACAAATACTTCATCAGTCGTTTGAGATTGGTAATGAGTGGAGTGAGTAGGCCGATGGGGTCATAAATTCGGGCTATCTCCGAAAGAATAGCTCGTTTGGTAAAACGCACGGGATTCGGTCGGTATTGGTATGTTACGTATCTCCTTGGAGGTCCGTGCACAAATAAAAACAACGAACACTTTCGAACTATATGTTACTTTCTATATTTAACTTGAAAAGAAAAACTTACAATACACTTAATGAATTATTTAATGTTTTATAAAAAAATGGTCTGACAATAATAATGTTCGGGCGCGAATCACAATGTTCCGTCTACTGCTCTGAAATGCAACTGGCACGGCTTGCTATACGAGCCGTGCCTGTAGCCAGCGCTTGCCTGGAATTGCTGTCGCAGCAATTCCAGACAGTCGCCGTCGTACAATATTATATTATACACTATTATATATATATATATATACTAACTAATATAGCCAGGGGTTCTTAACACCCCCCAACTTAAATGGAACTTAGGGACCTAATGGTTCCCTAATGTTCCGTACAATATGTTTTCATAACTAAATTTATGATTATAATGTTTACTTATTATTCAGTGATAAAATATCCGGTAAATCCGGATAGTACATTCTAATTATGCTGTTTCTAAACTTAATAGCTAATCCACTAACTACGGATATTATAGTTAACATTAAGATACACACAAGTACCATATGAAATTCCATTTGAAATATTATTAGAGACTCTGTTGTTACCTTTGGTAACTTACTTATTTCTATTAACCTTTTGGATAAAGAATTAAAATCGTGTACGATACTTATGTCTTTTAGGTTCTGGGGAATTATATTTTTTAGACTCTCTGATAATACTGATTCCTGTTTTTTGCTTTCTGGAATTAAATCAGTATAGATACCTCTATTAGATCTACTGGTCGGAAATATAATGGAATTTTCTGTATGGATTTCACAATCTTGGGAAGTGGTCAACCTTCCTACGCCTGAGATCTGAAATGATACTATTTGTGGAGGTTCCGCACATTTGATGGTCACTAAAGTTGGTTGTGTGTAAAATAACCATGCATTGGAATCCAATAACTTATCCCAAATGGACGTTGTTAATGTTACAAATTTTATTTTGCAAGTTTCTGGGATTGGTTGATATGTTAGAAGTGCTACTTCGCAAACGTTCGATCTCGAGCGGCGGTGAAATGTTTGACCACCTTTACATAATTTGTAAGTGTCTAAATGTACACATGATTCCCACTGTTTCCCTGTCATAGTGAAAAATTCCTCATTATCATTGTTAATTACCAAATATTCGACTTCGGGTTCAATTAAAATTAATGTATTGGTAGAATATATCATTGGTAATGAAACAACTCGATACACATTTAATACTTTACTTGAAATCAAGGGTATTTCAATAGAAAATATTAAGTACTCGTTTTGCACGAAAATCGTTATTTCAGAGATTTTGAAAAGGTTTGGCATGGACTCAGGTATTACTTCTATCGGGAGGTCGTTTCCCATGGGTAAGTTGATTTTAATTTCTTTTAACTCCTGTATTAATTTTCTGGGGGTAATTACGCTGGTAATAAATTCCAGGATCTTGCCATCCAGTGCTGCATTTATAATGACAATAAGGTTTTGTGTTTCGTAAGCATACTGATTGAGAGTTACCTCGAATAAAAAGGCTTGCTCTAACAGTTTATTTTTAAATTCTAGTTTATTGATTTTAACGATACTTTCTTTGGTCAGTCTTTGTAAATACTGCAAGTTACTATCGAGTTTCTGATGATGTTCTGCGATTTCCTGTGAAGTATGATTTGCATCCAATATTTCTGCTTGTACAACTCTTGTTTTTTCTTTGACTAAATTAATATTCTGAATTTTGTTTTTGGTTAATTCTACGATCTGTTTAAATATGAATTCGGTGTCGATTTTCGAGTATGCACCATACAAAACGTTGATCAGGCGCTTGAAGGTACCTCCCAATCGTCGGCGATTTCGAATTTCATTATTTGAGTTATGCTCTATCGATAACATCGCGTTACGACGATTTAACTGAATTTCATATAAATATGGACGGGTTGTAGTAGAAAATTGGTTTACGAATTGATTACAAATGTTTTCTATTTCTGCATTACCAAAGTTTGCTATCATTTGCTTACAAATTGTCTCCATTTCGCTATACTGGGTCATCAACTTATCATATTTTGTGGTCAAGATTCCAATGTCCACATACGTTACCAAGTTCCATTTAGTGTGAGAAGTTTTGATCATTCCGTGAGATTCATAATAGAATCCTTTGTGATCCGGGAAGGTAGTAATGTTATAATTCTCTTGAGCTTCTGATGTACTATCCCATATCCACATTATCAGGATTACCATTTTCGAGAATGACGGATTTTTCTTGGAAATTCCAGCGAATGCCATGATGGGTTTACTGGAACAAATTCATTTTTCTTCTTTCATTTTTCGTGAAATAACTTTAGTAAATTTTGGTGTATGGTCTGATTCTTCTTGTTATTTTTTTTTATGGTTACATTTTTATTTGTTGGGTTTACATCTACAATTTCATATGGACCCAACCACTTCGGGGCCAGTTTGTTTTTCGCGGCTTTTTCTTGTAGTAAACCCTTCTGACCGACTTCAAAAATTTGATGTTTTGCTGTCTTGTCGTACTGTTCCTTTGACTTGCTTTTTGCTTCCAGCAAATTGTTTCTTGCAAAAGCCTGAGCTTCTTGCATTTGTCTTTTGACTTCGAATTGGTAGTCATTATAATTGTACTGAGGTTCTGGTTCGTTAGTGAAAGATGTGGGGATTTTTACAGAATTTCCATAAACCAAATGATATGGCTGGAATTTCGTGGCTGAATGAACAGTGGAGTTATGGCAAAACATCGCATATGGGATTCTAGTATCCCAGTTTAGTTGGTCTTTTCCGATAAAATTTCGTAAATATTCTGCTAAAGAACGATGACTTCTTTCGAGACTGCCATTGCTCTGAGGGTGGTAAGGTGTGGTCGACGTCTGTCTAATTTTTAGGAGTTTACACACCTCTTTAAAAACGTAGCTTAAAAATTCCGTACCACAGTCTGTCACCAGACTTTGCGGTATTCCGTGTAAGCACACGAATTTGGTCACAAAATGTTGTGCTACCGTATTCGCTTCATGATTCTCCATGGGGGAAGCCCATGCGAATTTAGTGAGGTCATCTTGTAACGTTAAGATGAAAGCATTTCCACTATGTGAACGAGGTAGTGGTCCTACGACATCTAGGAATATTTTTTCGAAGGCTCTGGTAGCTGTGCTGGTAATCACCATAGGCTCTTTTGGTGTTCTTGTCGCTGTTTTATTCTTTTGACAGTTTGGACATTTTTTTATGAATTGTTTGATTTGTTTTCTCATGCCCTTCCAGTTATGTTCTTCGTACATCTTATTGAACGTTCTAGTTAATCCATGATGTCCTCCTAGCGGGTTTTCATGCAATTCTTTTATTTTCTGTATTTTCGGGTCTTCTGTTAATTCATCTCTGGTGTAGATACAGACTTTGATGTTCGAATTTCCAAAGGTGTTTTGAAACATGTTTCGGATGATTTCCCATTGTAGTCCATCTGCTTCACTTCCAATCCTTGGACAAGCTAGACTGGTTATTTTTAATTTCATACACAATTCTTTAAGTTTCTGTAAACAACTATAGATTGCTTGATACGTCGACTTTTGCCAGTGATGCTCTTTTGTTAATAAATAAAATATTGTTCGTTGTTCTGACTGAATAACGGCTACATCAGTAACTGATTTTTGTTCTTTCCGCAATTGGTCCACCTGCCCGAATTTCCGTCTCATTTGAAGGGCGATACCTCGAGACATATTAAAATCAGCGGAAATGCAATGTGCTATTGATGTAGTAGATTCTGAGTCGAAAATATTACCTGTTAGCTCCATTACATTGGTAGTAGGTTTAGCTTCGGTATTAAAAAAAAAAATATTCATCAGAAGGCTCTGGATTGCATAGAGGTTCTGAAGTGTTTGAGACTTCCGGTGAATCTACGATTTTTATTCTGTCGGAACCATTTGTAGACGTTACCCTATCTTCTAGTCTTGGAGGTTCTGACTTGGTTTTGGATCTAGTCGTGACAGTTCTGATTCGACTCAATGCATCAGCGTTGGTGTTACTAACACCTGGCTTATAGTGGATTTCATACTCATATTCTTCCAGTTTCAACCTCCATCGGATTAATCGGGACCCCGGGTCCTTTACGTTGAAAAGCCAGCTTAACGCTCGATGATCTGTAATAATTTTGAATTTCTGACCATATAAATACGGTCGGTATTGTTTGACTCCCCATACTATTGCACAAAGTTCCTTCTCCGTTGTATTATAATTTTGTTCTGCTTTGTTTAGAGTGCGCGATGCATATGCTATCGGTAGATCTTTCCCAATTGGTCCTTGAGATAATATGCAGCCAATTGCAAAATTGCTGGCGTCACAGGTAAGATTGAATGGTTGTTCAAAATCAGGGTATTGTAGGAGAGGTTCTTTGGTGAGAATAGCTTTTAATTTGTCAAACGATTCTTGGCAAAGGTCCGACCAATAAAATGGAACATCCTTCTTTAATAATGACGTGAGTGGTTTTGCAATTTGTCCATAATTCGGAACGAAACGTCGGTAATAGCCTGACAGACCCAAAAATGATTTTATCTCCTTAGCATTTGTTGGCGTTGGAAATTTTACTACGCAATCAATCTTTTGTGGGTTAGGCCTTACTCCTTTGTCGGTTATAACATGTCCTAAATAGTTCACTTCTTTTCGCATGAATGAACATTTTGACGGTTGGAGTTTGAGGTTTGCTTCTCGTAATCTGTCGAATACTTCTTTTAATTTCCTTGAATGATCTTCAAGGTCGAGGGCATATATAATGATGTCGTCCAAATACACAAATGCTTTGATCCCATTCAATCCCGTTAATACGGAATTCATTAGACGTTGGAAAGTGGCTGTTGCTCCCTTCAACCCGAATGGTACTCTTAAAAATTCGAAATGACCTTTGTCCGTAGAAAAGGCGGTTTTATTGCAATGGTCTGGGTGCATTTTGACTTGATGGTACCCTTGGGCCAAATCCAACGTAGTGTAGTACTTGGATTTTCCCAATTGGTCCAGAATTTCTGTAATGTTCGGTAGAGGATACGCGTCTCCTGTTGATATCTGGTTTAACCTTCTGAAGTCCACGCACACGCGATACTTCACGACACCGTTTTCATCAGGCTTCTTGGGAACTACGAGTAATGGCGCATTCCAAGGGCTTTTGCTCGGAGCAATAATGTTGTCCTCCTCAAGCTTCTGAATTTGTCTGTCAATTTCTTGTCTATGCTTAAAAGGCAACCGATATGGACGTACATTAATCGGTTGTGCGGCCTCGTTTGTTTTGATTTCATGATAAATTTGGTCAGTGCAAGATAGTTTATCTCCATCTAGATGGAAGATATTTGAGTATTCCTCACATATTGGCATAAGAGATTCTCTTTCTTCTTGGTTTAGATGATCCAAATTTAATTTTTCCCTTAGGGTTTCTAAACGGCCTTGTCCGCTGGACTTTTCTGGTATGTTCTGAGTTGCATAAACATTAACTTCATCAAACTTATGAATAGAAATTGATTTCGTTTGTGCTTGGGTAAGTTCCACTGAAGATTCCGTGGGATTAATCACCGCTATAAGTATCTGATTCTGGTGCACTTGGTTAACCGTATTGCTACATAGGATATTCTCTGAAATCTTTTGAGCTGGGATTAAAAGTGTTTCACCCTCTTGATATTCTGTGATAGGTATTGCGATCAAAGTTTCTGTTCGAGCTTGGATTTTCATGTTAACGGTATCTGGTACTATTAATTCATTAGTTTGATAATTAATAATCGTATGGTTCCCTATTATAAAGGGTTTCCCTAAAATTCCATCTTGTGTAATGGGAAAGTTGGAATGTACTAATTGAAATTCTACTTGCATCATACGCTCGCCAATTTGAATACTTATAGTCGTCCGACCTAATGTTGGGACTAACTGTTCGTTGATGCCCTTTAAATAGTAAATGGTATCTTCGTATACCATTACCTGATCCAAAAGTGAACAAATTTTAATTAGATTGAGATCACTTCCTGAATCCATTAAAAATTTAGCATTGGGGTTAATTGTCTGAGAGGTTCTGCATGTAAAAGTATTATCTGTTAAATTTGACTTTAATGTGAAGATTCTGGAAATGATATGGCGGCGCTCTTTATGCTCCCTACCGGACGTCCGCCGGAAGCGCCCGGTTGATTTTGGTTTTCCGAAGTCTCGCTTGAGCTGCTTCATTCCTTTTTCCGGTAACATATTTTAATTTCCGGCATACATCTTTTGTGTGCCCCGGTTTTTTACAGTACTGACACGTGATGGTGTTCACTGCGGCTTTGGAGGTTCCGTGTGGAGTGCTGGAATTTTTTGATTGATTTGTGTTGTTACCTCGGTTGGATCTACAATCGCGGGCCCAATGTCCTGGTTTATTGCAAATGTTGCAAGAACCATTTGGCTTTTTCGTTGCCACCGCGTTTCCTTTGTAAAGTTTCTTGGATTCTTCGGATGACATCCTAATCCTTTCTTCCTCTCGGGCGGCTTGTATGGCCTTATCTAAGGTTAGTGGGTTTCTGGCCTTAATGTAGTCCTTTAGGTTCCCCAAGCCTTCCATAAAGACTTGAATTACCTGTCTCTTAATAGAAATTTCCATCGCTTGGGCAATTTCTGGTGAAAAGTCTGCAGTTTCCTGTTCAATGATAAGATTTTGTAAAGCTTCTACTCTCATGGAGTAGGTCAGAATATCTTCACCATTTTTTTGTTTGATGGCGTACAATTCTAAAAATAGATGTTGTGTGGTTCGCTGGGGTTCTAGACTTGTTTTAAGTGTTTCCCGTAATTCTTCCCTTGTGTCGAATGTTTTAAACTTTGTTACCTGCCTCGCTTTCCCGGTTAACCTGGTTTGGATTGCCTGAAGCAGTCGTGGAATTGCCGGTTCCACTACACATGACACAACAAATTCGCATTTTTCAAGGAAAATCTCTAAATTTTCGGTGTCTTTTCCATCGAATGACTTTGGTAATAGCCTAATCGCATCCTGAAGTCCGATTTGATTATTAGATATCGAATCTCCATGTCTCGAACTGGCGCTATCTCTTGTCCTCATGATTTCCTGAATCTTTAGATCAATTAATTGGCTTAAATCTGGATTATTTGAAATGTCTGTGGTCAACTGTGGTCCTAGTACACCACTCCCTGTGGGTTATTTTTATCTCCCATTATTTCCAATGGTTTTTGATTTACGAGAAGCTTAATTCCTTGGTTTGTCGATTCAACTGTGTCGTTTGAAGACCAGTCCAAAAGTTTCTCTTGATTGGTCTGTAGAATTTTTGTGTTTTGGGAATTTTCTGAATTTTCTGTTGAAATGGTTTCGAGGGCGACGTGAATTAAACTTTTGTCGATTTCCCTAAGTTCTTCGTTAACTTCGGCTAAAAGACTATTTGTGGCTACAGTCAAATCCGCTTCCTTAATTAGTAAATGGTCGACGGAAAGTTCGTGTATTTGGCGCTCGGAATTTGGATTGTCGGGATTGGAGCACCTTACAGGTAAACTTACTCTTGGTGTAGGGGTAAGGGTATCAGTAACGGACGTGTTAGCCCCCTTGGTGGTTGAATCCTCCCCCGAATTTGCGCTCATTAAAGTTTGCCTAAGAGTTTCATAAAAGGTTTATTCCCAATCGTAAAGAGATATTTAAAAAAAAAGAATTCGGTATAATAAAACACTGAGAAACATGTGTTTACAAAGAAAGACTTTTTCCCTAACATAGGTTTATGTTTATATATGGTGTATAATAATTTATTATCCTATGTTTGTAAAAAAAAAATATTTAAATATAAACAGAGCTGAAAACTTAATGCTAAATACTCACGACCACCACAATTGTTCGACGATAATGAATTGAAATGTTCAGTGTTCGTCTGCGCCTGGTCGTTGTGATTGGTGCTGAATGCTCTGGTATATGACGTCGAATTGATCTCGGAACAATAACACGTCGAATTTCCTCTTCGACACCTTAACCACTTCGGAACGATGTTCTACGCCCCGAAACTGCTGGCGCGGGGACCAATAATTAATTATTGGGTTTCGCTTCGATGATTAAATAACGTAAATATATCGTTATATTTTGATATAAATTCGTTACGGCGGCGCTATCGTGTTTATAAACAACGAGGGCGGCGCGCGGCGGCTCTGATATCGTATTATCGTAACAGCTGTGTTGTCGTCTGTTTTCAAACGTCGGCGGCGGCGACACGGATGTCGTCACAACCACGACGGCGGCGGCAACACGTACGCCGGGCCCACACACACACGGCGGCTGCCTGTCGTCAATTTTTTTTTTTTTCGACGGCGTATGTATGTATTACACCACGCCGGGAATTTGCTGATCGCGCGTTTATAGAGACACGTTCACACGCAACCGTTTGCATGTATATATACACACCATATAGATGTATATAAAATATATAAAATATTATAAAATAATAATATCTTATACTATTAATGTTACCTTACGCAACTTTGTGTACAATGTTCTGTTTCGGATGGATACGCTTTTGTTCGTTTCCTTTTCTTCTAATATATTGTTGAAAGTCTAATTCGGCTATTGCTCGTGGTAACGGGATACTGATATTTGTCGTCTGCCACCAAAAATGTTACGTATCTCCTTGGAGGTCCGTGCACAAATAAAAACAACGAACACTTTCGAACTATATGTTACTTTCTATATTTAACTTGAAAAGAAAAACTTACAATACACTTAATGAATTATTTAATGTTTTATAAAAAAATGGTCTGACAATAATAATGTTCGGGCGCGAATCACAATGTTCCGTCTACTGCTCTGAAATGCCACTGGCACGGCTTGCTATACGAGCCGTGCCTGTAGCCAGCGCTTGCCTGGAATTGCTGTCGCAGCAATTCCAGACAGTCGCCGTCGTACAATATTATATTATACACTATTATATATATATATATACTAACTAATATAGCCAGGGGTTCTTAACAGGTAGGACAACATATCCAGATTAGGTTCCCATTTTAGACCGAGAACCTTGGTGTAATCTGACTGCGGTTCATCGGAGGTAAAATTATCGGTTGTACGATGTTCAATCGGAACGGCCTCTAATAATGCGGGTGCCCACTTTCGGAGCTCAAATTTCCCACGCTCAAATACTTTTATAGCCTCTTGTTGGAGTTTGAGAGCCTCTTCTTCCGAGTCGGCTCTGGTAACGACATCGTCCACGTAGAGGTCTTGATATATGACCTTTTGCACATTAGGGTATGCTTTGGCTTCATCTTCAGCTAATTGAAGTAATGTTCTAATTGCAAGGAATGGAGATGATCGTTGGCCAAATGTAACAGTGGACATTTCGTACGTCTGAACAGGGTCCGAGGGCTGGAATCAGAAAAGAAGGCGTTGGTATGGTCTATGTTTTGGAGTGACAAAAATCTGCCGGAACATCTGCTTGATATCGGTGGTGAACACTACTGCGTGCAAACGAAAACGTAAAATGATTCCTGGTAGATCCTGTTGAAGTTTGAGCCCCATAAACAAGTAATCATTTAGCGATTTTCCATTTGAAGATAGGGCTGACGCATCGTAAGCAACACGGAGTTTGGTAGTCGAACTTCCGGGTTTCACTACACCGTGGTGTGGTATGTAAAAAGATGTGTTATCAATGTCCTCAGTGTTGTCTACATAATTCATATGTCCGGAATCTAAATAATCTTGCATGGCCCCGTTATAATCCTGTCTATGCTCCGTGGATTTTGAAAGCCTAGATTCCAGATGTATGAGCCGTGTGTGTGCTAGATGGTATGATTCCCCAATAGGAGGTGGATCATGGGTGAATGGCAGATGTACTATATATCGACCATCCGCCTGTCGAGTAGTAGTGGTACGATAGATCTCTTCGCATTTTTGTTCTGCTGGACTGGTCTTTTCCACCGTAGGGAGCTCTTCAATTTCCCAAAACTTGCGCAGTATTTGGTCAATGGGGTCTATGGACGCGAAAAGTGAAGTCGTACTATTTGACGGATTTGGGGCTGACCGTCCCATGAGCACCCATCCAAACACGGTTTTAAGCGCCACAGGTTGATTGACGGTACCTTCTCGTCGATCTCCACTTATGATATAAGGAAAAACATCCGCTCCAAGGAGAATGTCTATCGGTAGTGGTTCGTCATATCGGGGATCGGCTAGGTCCAGACCCTGCACATGCGCCCACTCAGTCTTCACGACGCGTTCAGACGGAATGAGTCTGGTGATGCGAGGTAGTATGAAAGTCTCAACTGTGAAGAGAGGCGTGTCACGCCTTACGGGTCTAATGATAATTTGAGTACGTGCTTTTATCGGCGGTACCTGTAGGCCGGCCATAGCTTTCACAGCTACACTGCATTTATCCCGTGTCACCCCTAACCTGTTACGACAATGTTCCGTGAGGAAACTGCTTTGACTGCCGCTGTCTAAAAGCGCTCGCGCCTCTTGATATTGTCCACTACTATCCTGTACTAATACAGCCATCGTAGACATAAGTACACTGGAGTTGACCCTCTTGTCGTATGAAAACATACTATTCACGGTGGTAGTGGGTTGGGGTTCGGTGGTATTCACTATGGTCGTTGGTTGAGCGTCTGAGGTATTTTCAAAATGCAATAGGGAATGATGTCGCCCCTTGCATTTCAAACATACTCGGGTGTGTTTACACTGACTCACTGGGTGCTCGCTAAAACACAAGAAACAACGCCTAAGGTCTTTAATTATTTGGTACCGATCCTTTGGTGTTTTCTCTTTGAATACCGTGCAAGCAATCAACAGGTGACCAGGTGTTGTATTGCAGACCTGACAGGTGAATTGCCTTCTATTCTCACGTGAGTCTGGCTTTCCGGAATAGTTTTCCCATATGGTTTTTTATTTGGTTTTTCCTGTTCTTTGCCAGATTGGCCAGCGATAGCAGCATTGCAAAATTTTGATAAGAACATGGTAAAGTTGTTCATACTTGGATCATCCGCGGTATCTACTATTAATTCCCATTGAGCACGAAGTTGAGAGTCCAACTTTAATTCAAATAAATGTAGCAAGATTGGGTCCCATTGATCCACGGATTAACTTTGGTTTGCGAGCGCTCCAACCGACTCCGTGATCGTGTTCAGCATCTGGCGGATAGATTTAGCATCACCGAACATTGCTTTTGGCATCGTCCAAAGTTGGTTCAAGTGACTCTGTGCAATTATCCAACGGTTTGCATATTGTTTGTCCAAAACTGTTAGCGCTAGAGTGTAGTTATCATCACTAAGCATCAAATTGGATATAAGCGCTAACGGCTCGCCTTCCAGGTAACTTTTTAAATAGCTGAACTTAAGAACAGGTTTCAGGTTAGTATTGTTGTGTACCGCAATGTCAAACAAATTTCTAAAACTGGTAAATTGTTTCGGATCTCCTCCAAACCTCGGTATTGATAGCTTTTCCAGTGGTATCACATCGCGTCTATCTCGGTTTTGAGATGTACTAATAAAGGTTTCGTCGGCATTCGGATGTTGAAGTAAAACTGGTATATGCTCATCTGCTGCAATCATCACTTCAAAATACACTTCGTCAAACTTATCACGAATGTCCTCGGGTGAACTGATATCTACTTCGGACTTTTGGTCTTTTTCCGGTTTCCCGAGTTGTTTTATTACAATCGACAGCTGTTCCTCGAATTCCTCCTTAATCCGCGGAACGGTGGCAATGCCGGGTGGATACACCGGGTGGCATACATCATTCGAAACTTGGTTTTGTCCGACCTGGTGAGTGGTGACCGGTATCTTGTTTAGCGCATCTCCAGCGTCTCGTACTCGCATGATTCGTTTCTGAATGTCCGAGAGAGTAGTATATATTTGTATGTTCACAGCCAGCTTTTCCAGGGAAAAAAAAAAAGTTCAAGGGGGGAATGTCCCCTTGGAGCACTCAGATTTACCGTGTAACACAATTTCATACTGATTGACTACCAAATTTCGTCTCACGCAAAAAAATATTTAATATTTTTTTCTTTTTTACTCGTGTTGGTTACACTGTTTTTTTATCTAAAATTTGATAAACAAATTTACAATAATTTTTAAAGTTGATTATTTTTTTTTTTATTATATTCAGTTACTAATGAACTATCGTTCACTCAAGTTGTGTCTCATTTTTCTTTATTTTCTCAAAGTTTTATTAAATTGGATAAGTTATTTAATTTCTTCAAAAATGAATTTTCAAAAATGCACAAACGATATCCAGTCATTGGTCGATCAAATACGATTCAATTCATCGCCAGCGTATCCAGAATTCTCTACATTTGTATCGAGGTTACGAACTTTTAGAAGTTTCCCTTCAAATACCGGACAGAATAAGTACAAACTCTCGGAATGTGGATTTTACTATATCAATCTCGACGATGCAGTTCAATGTCATTGGTGTGGAATAATTCTACATAGTTTTGAAATCGGTGATAATTGTTTCATAGAACATACTCGATTCTCACCTAGATGTTTATTTGTATTGTTAATGAAAGGCAATCAGTTTGTTCAAAAAATCTTAAGTAAATATTGTAAAACCGAAGTTATTTGTAATTGTGAAACCGGTTCGTACGACACCATTTGTTAAATCATGTTTTTTTTTTTTTTTTTTTTTTTAAATGTTTATATATAGGTACATATATTTATGCTGCTTATAATATTTGCTGTATTGGATAAAAAAAAATAAAACAAAATTGAATTTTTTATCTTAAATGTGTTAATATTCGATTTAATATCTCGTGGACATACAGTCCTAGCGAATTAGTGCGTATAAAATAATTTAAAATGTTTTTCAGGTAACAGGTTAGTAAGTATATGTAAATTCCCTCTCTTGTACGCACTCATTGGCTATCCGTATGTTCACATTTTTTGCATTTTTTCCAGAGTTTTTTAGTATATAATATGACTGCAAAGGGAACAAACTAGCAGTTCAATGTATAACTCCTAACAGTTATATCCCACTTCTTATTTATAAAAGATTTTTTTTTTAAATTTGTCAAAAATAACTTCACCATGAGTTCACCAATAATTGTCTGTAAGTCTACATTCGACATCCGGGCTTTTAACAAGAAAAGTATTACAGTTGGATTACTAATTAACAAGCAGATTTCAATTATTTTATTATTGGAATGTAAACTTACAAAGAAAATTATCACATTAAGTTTAGAAGAATGGTTTACACTGATGTCTGAACCTAATTACAATTCGATTATTAATAATTTAAATACTAGGGTGAGGCGTGTAAAAATCACCGATTCCTTTTCATATTCAACCAATGTTAAACAGAGTTTAATTACCCTACATCTAAATGAGGAATACATTACCTTGTCACATGTAGATTTGTACCGACTTCGTCAATTACAGAATTTGATAGATTTGTACGTGGTAGACAAGCAAAAACGTTTAGCAAATTATCAAAATACTTTCAACACTGCATATTATGACCTAATTAAAAATGATGTCCGTGGTCTGCCGTCCACCTGTCAAAGGAACGAATTTACCAACCAATATATTCAAAACTATGATTTTAATTATTATAATCACCTACAGAACGATGACACATCATTTTTATATGAAATATTACAATTCCATTTTAACACATTGTCTGATATGATTTTACAAGACCTAATATCATAAAAAAATATTTAAATATGTATAATTGTTTTTTTTTTTAATAAAACTTTTATTCAATAATAAACTTGCTTTTTATTTTAATTACATCTCACCTTAAATCATAAAGAATAGTTTTAATAAGTTTTAGTTTTAATTTGTTAATATTTTAAATTTTTTTCCAACCAACCATAGTTTATAGGTTTATGTTTTCCAAGACCTTTAAGTTTTGAATAAATAAAAACATACATGTATAATAATATTTTGTTTATTAAATGAAACTCATTTTTTCATATAATAATCAAACGGTCGTCTTGCTTTTAATAGTCTGACGCTTCGGATCGGTTAGTAATTTGTCAAATATGGTTTGCATTGCCTCATTAAGACCAGTATGAAGCGTTTGATCTTTTGATTCATCGCTTGTATACAATCTGACAGTAGCTTCACTGAACTTCCATCTATAACACCAAATTATTTTATTTTAAAAACAAAAGAAGTAAATAAAATCAGTGAAAAAAAAAAACAGATTCATCAATAGGTTTTTTAAATTTAAACCAATGTATTTACCTGTCTTTTACTGGTACATTCTCAATGTTAGCAACCTTATAGTGGCTAATTACCCAAAGCTCCTTTGCTTTTTCTCCAAAAGGTGACTTGATTGTTACAACACCACCGTCCCCTTGTCTAAATGTTAGCGAATTAATTAACTCGACATCAAATTCTTCTGATCTCAAACGTTCGGTAACATTATCTCTGTATGATGCATTCTATAAAAAAATTAAATTATTTATGCTATCATTATAATAAATATTATTTATACTACCATTTTATTCTGCTTTTTTTTCATAGGTTTTTTCACACTTGTTTTTTCTGCAGTACGTTTTAGACCAGGTTTTGTTTTTGAAAAAGACGGTCTCATATCAATTGATTCGCTGCAATGTTCATTCTATGAAACATAAAACATAGTATATTATTTTTACTATTTTTTCATTTTATATTTTCTATGTTCCAAGAATTATAACCAAAGCGTTGAGTAATGTCACGACTGACCTCCAATATGCTTTAGTTACTATATAGTTTTTTAAACTATGCTATAATCAGGCATTTAATATTATTTTAAGAATTATAACCATAGCGTTGAGTAGTGTTACGACTGGCCTCCAATTAGCTTTGGTTATAAGATATTTACTAAGTAGTTACTAACCTCTGAATCAGTTGAAGCAATTGTACGGTACGACATCTTTTTTTGGTAGTATCTCTGTTGAACTGAGCTGCTTGTCCTGGAATGAAATCTTGAAGACTGGTGAATATTAGTGAATTCCCTCTGTATTTTATACACAGATTTTACCACTACTTCAATAATTTAAAATGCAAATTTCCACAGCAATGACCTTACCTTACAGAAACCGGTGGAAACATGTACATAGAGGTACAACAGGAAATTACATTATATGAATTTAAATTGTTGCTATCATAAATTGCTTTTGTAACGAACATGTTACACTTTCATATTATAATTAGGTGCACTATATGAATGTAAATTATTACAATCAGGATTTAAAATAATTTACATACACACCAATGTCATTCTAATATGAAAACAGGATATGTAATATATTAAAATGTTTAAATTCATTCTAAAAAAGTTTCTGATATGAACAGAGAGGGGCTATTTTCGGGTATAAAACACAGAATTTCTTAGCTTATTGTCATCAGTTCAAGCAGTCAGCAGAACAGCATTCTTCGTCAACCAATAGTCAGCCAGCAGATTATCAGACCTCTTCAACAAGCCATCATACTTAGAAAAAAATACTTAAATTTCCACAAGCTATGTAAGTACTATTTTTATATTGTTATTTATTAAATTTAACATCTAAACTTCTT